AAGAGTTTGTCAACGCTCTGCCGAAAGTCCGTGGGTTTCTTCCGGGCACTCCGGTTTCCTCCCACAGGGAAAGTTGACAGGGTTGGTTAGGACTTTCCCTAAAAAAGTAACCCTTCCATTGCAGCTGTACTCCACGATGGAGAGTCAAAAGGTGGCTGCTATATGCGCTCTTAGAAAGCCTTGCACTCAATCACGTTGAGCTGTGTCCTTCGCTATTCAGCTTAACTCTTAGCTGCAAGTAAAAATAATACGCACACCCCTATTTACTTAACCACACGGCCCTTTGAAAATCACCCACAAGTGAAAGGCTACCGTGTTTAAATATCTTTAAATAATAATAATAATAATAAAAACTGCTCTCCTTGTGCAGAGATGTGATAAGGTCATTCTTAAATCCAGCCCAGAGTGTTTGGTGATTGCGAGAATAGATTTATGCCCGTTTAAACAGAGGGGTTCAAAAGGGATGTGTTACATCAACAAGGCATAATGATAATGCCAATAATGTCAATAGTTTCAAAATCAACTTTTAAATTATTTTTTCTAGCTGCCCGCCTTCGAACGAATCGATTTCACCGAAGCACTCAACCAACAACTGATTTGGAGCTAGCCATTGCAGAACACAAAACAAGTCATGTTAAATCCCTCGTAATAAAACCCACTGAGTCCACATTTACCCCTACTCATCGTATCGAATCAGTCAACCCTGCGCGCGCAGCTTTTCCAACGTACGGCACTTACGAGGAGATGCTCGAGGACGATACGCATGCGTCAAACAACAGACAGTTCCCAACATACTCAATGTGCCCTTATCAAGGTCTCAGAAAACCTTTGGCAACAAACATCCCCAAAATATCAAAAGTCCCAAAATGCCGACGAAGGCTGCTCACTCACGGCGATTGCACAGACGTGGTTAAGTATTTTGGCGAATACGGGAGCATGAAAGCTGGGCAGTGCGATACAAACAATGCCATTAAAATATGCACTGTATCAAAAGACAAAAATTATAAAAGAGAGGAAATCCAAGTTTCGTGTGATGCTAGCCCTTGTAAAGACAAACGAATATCGCTTGGGCTGTTCAGTCACACAACTGGGAAAATTGAATGGCAGTTAGTTAGAGACATAAATCGTTTAAGTACGCTTCTCAAAAATCATATAATGTCCTCGGCATTTGCACCTGGTTTTGCATTATTAAAATGTGAAGGTGGACAAGGTATTCAAGTTTTAACTTTCCCAAAAATTTTGGATCGCGTGGAAGCAGTACAGAAGCATGAAAAAAGAAGACGTTTTAATATCAATATTGTACTTGAAGATTCATTATCGCGTGCGCATTTTTATAGAACTCTTTTGAAAACTGCGTCGACGTTTAGGGATATTATTTATAACCAATCAATACCATCAACTTTACTGGAATTCGAGAAAGCCCAAAGTCATGCGTCGAATACATATCATAGCCTACAGAGACTGTTTACAGCTCAAAAGTACTGGAACTCTAAGACAAATTGTGGATACGGGATTAAGGAATTTCTTGCGAATGTTACAAAACATACTTGTACATATGGCGTTGAGGAAATATTCAGTCGGTATAAAAAGGCTGGATATAGTACCCTACTTCAAGAAGACCATTGTTGGTTCGATCACTGGGGTTCGTTCCTTGATCCGCGCAAAGGATTAGCTCGTGTTAAAAACGAAAAATCACGGCTCAGTCGATGGAAAGATTTTGTTCAAATTGTAAAAAAATCCGGACGTGGACAAAAGGTTGATGACTACGGTATGTCAATATTGAC